CCAGTTTCCACATATTTCATTGAGGGCAGTGAATTCAGAACAAAGTCCAGATGATTCTGAGAAAGCGAACAAACTGTTGAAGAATCTCCAAAGGAGACGATTATAGAATAATATTAGAGCCCTGAGTGTCAATCCCAATTTAGACACTAAAGCTAATGGTGTGACCTTGGCCATCTCATCTACCTTTCTAAGGCTATTTCCTTACCACTAATATGTGTAGTTGTTAATCCACCCAAGAAGTCGCAAACTACCGTTATGTTGGGGGTGAGCACAAATTTTGTAAAACTTTGGATGAGTTGCCAACTGTTCAAAATCAGGAGACACCAGTTTCTATTTTTTACAGAAGGAAGCTATGGCAAGGCTGGCCCACACTCCCACAGAGAAACAATTGCCAAGAACAGACAGTGCCCCCTTCAGAGCTGCCGTGTGCTTTCCAATCTGCCATGGACCACATCCCACCTGCTTCACTCTTATTTTCTGCTACCTGCTGACCTCTGTAGTTATCTGAGTTTGCATCTCTCAAAATGGATAATTTTTAAGGGCTCGTTGTTGTTGTCATTGAAAGCTATTGGCACGGTTTCAAGATAATATAAATTTAAAATATTTATGATATAGGCAGAAAAGACAGATCTCCCATACAGAAGAATTCCAAATGATGTATGCAGATGCCCCACCCTCAAGGAGGAGGCATTTGCCTCACATTCTTTAAGTGTGGACGGTGCATAGTGACTTCCGTCCAAGGAGTTCAGTAAGAAAAGAGAAGGAAGGAAGAGTTTCTCTGCAACTGAGAAACCTGATGATGCTACCCTGTCTGGGTGATGAAGGCCAACATCAACAGTGATGATAATTCATGTTGACATTATGTACAGTCTTCCTCCCAAGTCCCTTACCCTAGTCTAATCATGAGAGAAACATCAGACAAATCCAATAGAGGGACGTTCTACAAAATACTTGACCGGTACCCCTCAGAATTGTCGAGGTCATCAAAAACAAGACAAGTCTGAGACTATCACAACCAAGAGGCAGCTAAGGAGATATAACAAGTAAATGTAGTGGTGCCTGGGTGGCTCAGTCAGTTAAGCAACTGACTTCGGCTCAGGTCATGATCTCACAGTTCATGGGTTCAAGCCACGCGTCAGTCTCTGTGCTGACAGCTAGGAGCCTAGAGCCTGCCTCAGATTCTGTGCCTCCCTCCCTCTCTGTTCCTCCCCTGCTCTGTCTCTCTGTGTCTCTCAAAAATAAATAAATGTTAAAAAAAAATTTTTTTTTAAAACAAGTAAATGTAATATGGTAGCCTAGATGGAATCCTGACCCAGAAAAAGGACATCATGTAAAAACTAAGGAAATGTATAGATACTGCTTCATTAATTGTAACAAATGTACCATAGTAACGTAAGATGTTCCTGATAGGGGAAACTACGTACAGGGTATGTAGGAACTCTCTGTACTGTCTTCGTAATTTTTCTATCAATCTAGAAGTGTTCTTAAAAAAAGTTCACTTTAAAAATATTTTATATATGTATGTGCATGTGTAAATACATGTATAGAAGGACACCGAATTAGCTCAAGGGATTGGTGGAAGACTTGGACCCCCAAGGCTGAGCAGAAAAGGTCAGATTTGCTGTAGTGTATTTTATCCACAGCACTACCTTTAGTGCGACTCAGCTCTGTCATGCCTCAGGCACTGCATTTCTCAGTTCCACATTTCACCTCCCTCAAAGAAAGCCCACTGCTTCGGCCTGGGTAGGAATCAAAGTCTGGATCTAGTCATTCTACCCAGGGTTTGGTTCCGTGTAAGAATCATCATGGCCACCGTACCCATGCCTGTGTATAAGTGACTATTCTCATAAAAGGAGGAAGATCTGGGAGCCAGACAGACCCCTCTCAGCTCGGCAATTCTGTGGAAGATGGTGAAAGAGAAGAAGCTTCGCCAGGGACACCTGGGTGGCTCGGTTGGTTAAAGCATCCGACTTCGGCTCAGGTCATGATCTCACGGTTCGTGAGCCTGCTTCAGATCCTCTATGCCCCTCTCTCTCATCCACTCCCCTGCTCATGTTCACTCTCTCTCTCAAAAATAAATAAATATAAAGAAGTTTTTTTGAAAAACTTTAAAAGAAAAAAAAAGAAGCTTAGCTGATGAAGTCAACATCCTAAAACATAAGGCCCCATAGTCTACAACAAGGGCACAGCATCATGGCCGTTTACATTTGCCATTTCTATATACTAAGAACGCTTCGGTGGCAATTGCAAAATTTTATGAAGTGAAGATTTATAACAACTATTTTTTCTGCAAAAAATTGATTCAGTTCCAAACACTCAAGTTAACTCTCCAGACGTCTGAGCACAATTCCTTTTACTTTTTAAAAATTGTATTACAGGAAAGTCGAAGAGTACGCACAGTGATGGAAACCACGGACGTTCATACACCGATAGAGTGGAAGGGAGACTAGTCCAACGCAGACCAGCTAAGCGATCCACGGAATAGTTAGTGATGGAAGGGTCGCTGCCCTTAAACCAGTTCACGTCGTTGGCGCTGTGGCACAAATTCGGAAGACACCCTTCCTCAGGACACTTCATTTCCATTTGTTGGAAAACTATCACAATGTGCTGCTTTTGTTAGAACAAGACAGTTCACTGACACCTGCCAGGAATTTGTGAAAATTCAAATGCGTGATACCTACGATGTGACCTCAGGCGCCTATGTACTGTACAAGCTGCACAGCCACACACTGTCACTCTGGGTGCCGTTGTCTCTTACGAGCAAGTTTCACGTTTTTAGAGCCTTGATGGGGCGCCTGGGTGGCTCAGTCGGTTAAGCGGCCGACTTCGGCTCAGGTCATGATCTTGCGGTCTGTGAGTTCGAGCCCCGCGTCAGGCTCTGTGCTGCCAGCTCAGAGTCTGGAGCCTGTTTCAGATTCTGTGTCTCCCTCTCTCTCTGCCCCTCCCCCGTTCATGCTCTGTCTCTCTCTGTCTCAAAAATAAATAAACGTTAAAAATAAATAAATAAATAAATAAAAGGCCATAGGCCTATTCTTGTGAGTGTCTCAGACATACAGTCCTACTTTTCGTGTGCAGGAAGACAGTGGTTTTCACCTGCCTTGCTTAAGTGAAGTCAAATCCAAATATCATGCACCACCTGCAGACAGCGTATGTTTCCTCTTCACAAATTATATTATCGCGAGAAGCAGTGTGTGACTTCTGTGTATTAAAGAACCCATTTCTAGGGGCGCCTGGGTGGCTCAGCCAGCTAAGCGTCTGGCTCTTGATGTCAGCTCAAGTCTTGATCTCAGGGTCGTGAGTTCAGGCGCCGCACTGGGCTCCATGCTGGATGTGGAGCCTACTTCAAAAAATAAAAGAAAGGAAAAGAAGAGAAAGAAAGAACCAGTTTCTACATGGAATGTGATGAAACGTTAAACTCCATTTCAAAGACTTTTTTTTTCCCTTGAAAAATATTTGCTTGCTTTATTTATCTACTCAAATTGAGATTGTGTATCTTAACTGTATTTTTTTTTTTTTGTATCTTAACTGTATTATGAGTGACCTTGGGCTACAGTGAAGTAAAGTTAAAACATAAATTCAGAGGGGTAATTAAATATGGAAAATTGAAAATGTCATTCATAAAAATACACATTTTTCTCCATCCAAGTTATTCTTCTGATGTCCTTTGTTGCCTCAGGTAGGAAAACTACCTTAACATATCTTGTATGTTAAGATACTCTGGGAGGCTCTTTATTTAAACCCTCCAGCCACACCTGCGTCCTCCCTCTGGAAAACAAAAGTATGAGAGATCAGCATGAATTGAAGGCAAAGAAGTGAGTTGAGGGAGAAGAAATACATCGGCCGAGAAAGTACCTTGGAAGAGGGCCTTCCATGTGGGGTTCGGCATGAATAAAACCTTTGAGGGAGCAATGAGCTTACATATATTTAGAGGAAAAGAAGGATAAGAGCTGAAACAAAAGACTTCTGTAGGGAAGGGTTGGACAGCAGCAGAATCATCTACATTCCCCAGGCTAAGATATTTGGGCCAGATCCTAAGGGGTCACCAGACTTTTACCTAGTAAGGAAAAAGGCATTTTACAAAACTCAATCCCGTAGGGGGAGAAAAGACTATTTCGAAATAAAGTAATTGAAACTATTTTTTTTTGTATATTTTACAATACTCGTGAGAAAGAGGACCCTTATAATAAGCGTACTTTACAAAAAAAACCTGTTAAAGTTACCAATTACTTATCGATAGTGGGAAAGGGTCATATTAAATTATTACCATTTCGCCCTCCATGCTCTTGTAAGATTTTGTTAAATGTTTATGTATTTATTTTGAGATACAGAGAAAGAGAAAGAGAGGGAAGGACAGAGAGAGAGTGTGCACGAGAGAATCCCAAGCAGGCTCTGCACTGTCAGCAAAGAACCTGACACAGGGCTTGATCTCACAAAACATGAGCTCATGAACTGAGCTGAAATCAAGTCAGATGCTTAACCAACTGAGCCACCCAGGTGCCCCTTTTCTTTTAATTGAGATTCTTTTTTTCGAGGTGACTTTTTTGGGGGAGGTGACTAAGTCAGTTAAGAAGCCGACTTCAGTTCAGGTCATGATCTTGTGGTTCCTGAGTTCAGGCCCCGAGTCAGGCTCTGTGCTGACAGCTCAGAGCCTGGAGCCTCCTTCAGATTCTGTGTCTCCCTCTCTCTCTGCCCTTCCCCTGCTCGTTCTCTCTCTCTCTCTCTCTCTCTCTCTCAAAAATAAACACTAAAACATTTTTTAAATTATAAAAAAAAGTTTTGGGTTTTTTTTTTGTGTTTTGGTTTTTTGTTTTTCAAATCGCCCCCCATGCTCTTAATTATTCAGGGTGGGCCCAAATCTTGGTTTTGCAATTGTTAATGTATAGTTGCATTTTTCCACTCATTTAAAATAATTACTTGATTTCTACCTCAAACCATCTATCTCTCCATTTTCAGTTGTTAATGTGAGGTTCTTTGTTTGTTTGATTGAGTGATTGTTTTGCTGTAAAGGAAGGTCGTAGGAATGGTCCGTGGTGAGAACCCTCCCCTTCACTATAACTGGGATGCAACCCAGGAGAAGGCAGGGCTAAGTATGCCAGGAGGAGGAGCTCAGGGTTCAGCTCGTCTTCTGAGACACTGCTCCAAGAAAAGCTTCCTTCCCATGGAGATGCAGGAAGCTCGTAACTCCCAGAGCCTAATCCAGCCCAGAACTTGGATCTGGGAGGTCTGAAACCTTCCCACTGTGAGTAGAAACGGTGGGGGGGGAGCCAACATTTCAAATATGGAAGCAGTTTTATATCCTGCAAAAGCTCGAGACCAGGGTATGTTTTTAGGGCAGACTATTCTGGAAAACCAAGAAAAGGTTAATTACAGATATGAAAATAGACACTAAATGAGAAAAGATCTTTTCTCTTCTTTTAATGTTCCTTTATTTTTGAGAGACAGAGCATGAGCAGGGGAGGGGCAGAGAGAGAGGGAGACACAAAATCTGAAGCAGGCTCCAGGCTCTGAGCTGTCAGCACAGAGCCCAGCGCGGGGCTTGAACCCACAAACCACGAGATCATGACCTAAGCCAAAGTCGGCCACCTAACCGACTGAGCCACAGGCGCCAGAGAAAAGGTCTTTTCATGCTATTGCTCCAAACGTCTAAATCTCTCCATGTTAAATAGTGGTCTTAAACAGTAAACACCTGGTAAGTATCTTGCCTGGATTATGTCATTCAGTCCTCACAATAAACACCATGGGGGCATATATCATTGTCGCTGTTTTACAGATAAGAAAACTGAGGCTACAACATTGATATTAATTGCCCAAATGTAGGCAATTAATAATTGGCAGAGCTAGGGCTCAAATCTGTCTGCCTCACATCAAAGCCAAACCCTTATCTGTCACTCTCGACCCTTCAGATTACATTTTCTTCATCAAAAAAATTTTAAAGACTTTATTTAGACTGCATTGTACCTGCAACCCATTACTTGTTTTGTGGCCAGGTGTATGTTTAACTGTGAGGATAAAGAAGAGAAAAAAACCCTGTTTTTCTAAGAAAGTTGGCAAGACACTGGTTGCATTTTGTGGCACCCTGGGGCCATGTGACAAAATGAATCACAGAGCCAGGGTGAAGTCTGATCTTCCACATTGTGTAAGGAGCCCTGCACTCCAAGCCTTGGGAGCCACTTAGCAGGCAGGAGACCCCGGCAAGGAGAATAGGAGTAGGGGACCTTGTGTTGACCAAAATAGATGAGATATTATAACCCACATAAAAGCTAGAATGTCTGTAGACCCTGCCCTGAAGAAGTAGTATTAAACTAAACATAAGTTCAGAGACTTAGCAGTTAACACTTTTCTTTAAAAGAAACACTTGGGGTGCCTGGGTGGCTCAGTTGATTAAGCATCCACCTTCAGCTCAGGTCGTGATCTCACGGTTCATGGGTTTGAGCCCCACGTCGGGCTCTGTGCTGATGGCTCAGAGCCTGAAGCCTGCTTCAGATTCTGTGTCTTCCTCTCTCTCTCTGCCCCTGCCCCCCTCACACTCTATCTCTCTCAAAATAAATAAACATTAAAAAAAAAAAAAAAAGAAATGTTCATGACTCAGTGAGATAGGGCAGCGAAGGCAAGACATTTTGCAAAAATCCTCTCTCCCATCTTTAACAGCCATTTTATATGTCTTAAAAACGGTGGCCAGTCCCCAAAACTTTCTCTGTCTCTGTCACTCTCAGGTCTTCCTTGTAGACCTTGTCTCTCCTTGCACTGTCTCTTTCCTTTAATTTCTACTCTTTGTCCTCTCCCATGGGCAAAACCCATTCCTTCCTGGAACCCATCCCTGTAACTTCTCCATTTTCTCTGAATGCAAATCCTGCACCATAAAAGCCCAGGAACTGAGCTGAGAAAGGGAGAATTCCCATTAGGAGCTATAAAAGGGCCAAACTATGAACTCTCACCTGTCATGGATTACTCAGTTTTGCATATCATCTCAATGCCTTCTTCTCCCTCCATTTCTCTGTCAAGAAGTCCCAGCCAATGTATGGTGGCTATAGTTAATAATACCGTGTTGCATATTTGAAAGTTGCTAAGAGAGTAAATCGTAAAATTTCGCATCACTGGAAACAAAATTTGGAAGTGTATGGTGGCAGGTGTTGACTAGACTTACCGTGGTCTTCATTTCACAATACAGTTGCCCCTTGAATGATGCAGATGTTAGGGGCGCTGACCCTCCCCCCCGCCCCCAGTCAAAAATTCACATGTAGACTTCCTGGGAAGAGGGCAGAGTAGAAAGATCTTAAGCTCCCTTCCTTTGAACTAGATAACACCCACAACAGTGTAAATAACCCAGAAAATGACCTGAACACTGGCAGAAAAGACTCTACACAGCTAATTGTAGAGAGGAGGGCACATCAAAGAGGGTAGGCTGGGGCGCCTGGGTGGCGCAGTCGGTTAAGCGTCCGACTTCAACCAGGTCATGATCTCGCGGTCCGTGAGTTCGAGCCCCGCATCGGGCTCTGGGCTGATGGCTCAGAGCCTGGAGCCTGTTTCCGATTCTGTGTCTCCCTCTCTCTCTGCCCCTCCCCCGTTCATGCTCTGTCTCTCTCTGTCCCAAAAATAAATAAAACGTTGAAAAAAAAAAAAAAAGAGGGTAGGAAGGGCAGAGACTTGGTCAGGAGTTAAATGGACAGGTATGGGACTGTCCCCAGGAGGGAGGGACACTGCAGGCACAAAGAGGGGAGTGAAACAGATCCTTACACCAGCGCCTCAGACACCACAGGGGAACCCACACAGAGAAGACAAACCTCCATAACATTGGGTTTCGAAACCAGAGGGGCCCAATTTCTAAAGTTCTTTTGATAGGCAGGGCTTCACATCTGGGACTTAAAAATCAGTGGGCTCAGCTCTAGAAGAGCTGATGGAGGGTGATAGGAAACCGAGTCCCTGCCCTTAAAAAGACAGTACAACCAAACCCCATGGAGATACAGCATGGAAGCAGCAGTTTGAAAAACACCTGGGGGTAGACGGGAAGGAGATTTATTTACTAATCTCAGAACGTGTGCTGGAAGGCAAGCATCTTTAGGAGACAGGAACAGAGGAGCTGGCAGTCACCATTTCCCTCCCCTGCCCAGCAGCCTAGATAGGGGACACCTCCAAGAATCAGAGCAGCCCCAACACGATCCACTTAGTGCCCCACCCCTACATTCTCCTGCGGACACACCCCTCCAGCCAGGCCTAGCTCCAGGTCTCCTCCCACGGCAGACCCACACAAACCTTGCCAGCATCAAGCACCTGACCCCTTCTTCTCCCGCAGACCTGCCCCGTCCAATCTGCGCTTGGCCGCAGCCCATCCAAAGCGGCGCCACAAGCCCGGCGGTGTGCAAGCAGCCCCAATAGGGGCCAGCACGGCTCCAAAGTGTCTCCTGCCCTTTGGCAGAGGGGACCATAAGCACACGTACCACTCTGGCTGTGGCCCCTGCGGTGGACTGGGGGCAGACATCTGGTCTGACTGCAGGCCCCACCCACCGATGGGAGCTTCTCAGGGGACAAAACAGGGAAAGCGCCTTGCAGTGTCACACGACTGCATCTGTGGCCAACATTTGGTCTGACTCAACTCAAGCCGGAGGCAAGTCCCGACAGGAACCAGTTCGGCCCGCGACAGGCAAAGAGACCACCGCAGACCACTAGGGGCACGCAAACGTGGCTCAATACCAATACCGTGCACACAACACGCAGTAGGAGACGCCCGTGAAGCACCAGGCTCTGGTGAACAGGGGACGTTGCACTGCAGGGCGCTAGAGGATCTCTTCTTTATAAGGCCACCATTTTCAAGAGCAGGAGACGTAGTTGGCTTTCCTAATACATAGAAACAGGCGCAGGGTTATAAAAAAAAAATTAGGAGACAGAGGAACATATCCCAAATGAAAGACCAGGACAAAATCACAGCAAGGGAGTTGAACGAAATGAAGATAAGCAACATGCCCGACAGACAGTTTAAAGTAATGGTCATAAAGATACTCACTAAACTTGAGAAACGAGTGCAGTGAGACCCTCCACAAAGAGACAGAAAAAAAAAAAAACACTCAGAGATGAAGAACTCAATAACTGAAATTAAAAATACACGAGAGAGAATGAATACTAAACTAGAGGAAGTTGAATGGATCAGTGACCTGGAGGACAGAGTAATGGGAAAGCCATCAAGTGAAACAGAAGAGAGGAAAAATAATAATAAAAAGTGGTAGACTTGGGGAACTCAGCAACACAATCAAGGATAATATGTCTCCCGTTATAGGGATCCCAGAAGGAAAAGAGAGAGAAAGGGGGGGGGGCAGGAAATTTATTTGAAGAAATAACAGCTCACAGCTCCCCAAATCTGGAGAAGGACACAGAAATCCAGATCCAGCAGACACAGAGAGCCCCCAATAAAATCAATCAAAGGGGGTCCATACCAAGACATGTCGTAATTAAAATCAGAAAACGTGCTGATAAAGAGAGAATTTAAAAGCAGCAAGAGAAGACAGTTCTCAACAAGGGAAACCCCCTATGGCTATCAGTGGACTTTTCAGCAGAAACATTGTGGGCCAGAATGGGGTGGCATAATATATTCAAGGTGCTGAAGGAAAAAAACCTGCAGCCCAGAATACTCTATCCAGCAGGATATCATTCAGAATAGAAGGAGAGATCAAGAGTTTCTCAAACAAACAAAAGTTAAAGGAATTCATGACCACTAAACCAGCCCTAAAAGAAATGTGAAAGGGGATTCTTTCAGTGGAAAGGAAAAACCGTAAGTAGGAATAGGAAAAGTAGGAAGCACAAAAGCAGTAAAATTAAGCATATCTACGAAAATCAGTCAAGGGATTCACGAAACTAAAAGGATGCAAAGTATGACACCAAATGTAGAGGGAGAGGATCAAAGAATGGGTCCAAACTTAAGCAACCATCAGTTTAATATAGATTGTTATATACATAACATGTTATATAAAAATCTAATGCTAAACACAAATCAAAAATCAGTAATAGATATGCAAAAAATAGAGAAAGAAAGCCAAATATATCACTAAAGAAAGCCAACAAATCATGACAGAAGAAAGAGAAGAGAGGAACAGAGAAGAGTTACAAAAAAAAAAAAAAAACCCCAATAAAACAAAATGCCAATAAGTATATACCTATCGATAATTACTTTGAATGCAAATGTACGAAATGCTTCAATCAAAAGACATAGTATGAGAGGAGTTAAGGTGGTAAAGTAGTAAGGGGACCCTG